AAAAACTGCACTACAAATTCCATGCTAAAATAAACTGAGCAAAAATAGAAAAAACAGGACGATCACTCTACTACATGTTCAGGCATCATCCAAAGAAGAAAGTAGCAGAAGCTGTGTGATAATACCTGATTAACCAATTGGTTTTTAAATTTTTCAGGATGCAACTTTCGTTCAGAATGAAATGCATATGATACTTGAGCATCCATCCCTGCCACAACAGCAATATAAGCAAGTGGTTGACATCTAGGAACTTTTTTTATATGAGAACAAAAGGCCATAGATTTAAAGCACAACATCTCTCAAGAAAAAAAATTTGTCAGATCAGAAATTTATCTGTTTCAACTCCCCAGTTTACGTAGTATGACACTAGATCAGCAATAATGGAGAAACTATGCATTAGAAGAGCTTACCCATACTGAAGTAATTCCAGAACCCCCCACGAAATGTATGGTACCCTTCCTGAGGCATAGTCAACATATGTTTAAAAGAATGCAAATGCTGTACATGCTTGAGAAACAACTAATAATTGAGAAACTCGGAACATTAAAGGACTTAAAAGTAGGCAGCATAGCCTATCTAACCTCATTCAACTCATCTGTCGCTGAGACGCGATGAAAAGCATGTAAAGAATGTGGTAGCTCAAGAGGTGCAATAGGATCACAATTAGAACCTTCTTTAGGAGTCTTCATCCTCATGAGAATATGCCAGCTAAAATATAAAAATCCAGTATCACTAACTAAATTGAACTAAAAACAAGAAAACAGAAAGTATTAATAAAAAATTAGATGAAGTGCTCCTGTAATATCATTTACATTTGATCAAAACAAAGTACTATTTAACCCAAAAAATACCATATGACATAATACTTTAGTAACATATTGTATACAATGAAGATAACAAAGAATAAAGCTTCAAGAAATGATATAAGAATTAATCCATGTCATATAAGCAGCAGATATATGCAATTATATTAATTTCTTTAAAAAAATATATATATATAAACACAGAGATCATGTCAACATCCTCACTTGTCTATTTTCATTTCCTTTGCTTGCATTACTTGTTTCAAAAATTGTATAACAGAGTGACGATCAGTCCCAGGATTCTTCTTTCCCTGTACATTAGCTAATTGCATGTTAGAAATACCCTGCTTCAAACAGTGCACTGGTCAGATGACCATGGCCATTTATGGAAATTATTATTCAAATCATAATTATCCATAACTCATACTTAAAGTAGATACTCGTTACAATCTCAATCAAAAACAGAAAGAAAATCTTGGAGCATACACCCAAATTTAGATGATATAAGCTTAATAAACAAACTGATGTTGCTATTTCAAAATTAAGAAATAGAATATAATTGGTCTGGAAATGAATTAAATTTAGCTACTGATTACTGTGAACTGTATGGAAAATGTTTGATTAGCAAGCAAGCTCTTACACAACCAAATGCGAAGGGAAGATTATTTCCTGTTCCAAGAGGCACTGTAGCAACTGGTGGTGAATGAGATAATTTGAGATCACAAACAACTCCTAGAAGCCAGCCAGCTGTCCCATCACCACCAGCAACCTGAAAAAAAAAAATAACATTTAAGATACTTTTAACAGAATAATTTACATATACACACAAGAAAGTAATGAATAAAAAAAAAAAAAACTTGGTAGAATAATCAATTATCAGTCCTTAACTCACAATTATTCTTAATCTCTCCTGAATCTGTACAGCATATTGATCTCCATTAGCTTTGAGCTTCTCTAAATTAAGATAGATTTTCCGTAGAGCTTTATCGGGCGCCTCTTCTCCAACATCAAAAACCTGAAAATGATCCAAATAGAAACTTAATCGCAGCTACAGAACTTCAGTCACACAAAGTAACGAACATCAAGTAGCACTTCACTTTTAGACTTACCTGATTCTTATTAAGAAGATCACGATAAGTTACAAGAAGATCTCCACCGAGCTGTCCACCGCTTCTGGAGTTTATATACACCAGCACCGGACACTTGGGCACATCAGGAACTTCAATGGTCTGTAATTCAGGTACTAATATGTACGTAGGTATAATGAATTCCTTCAAGAAGCTTGCCTCAGAATGAGGATCCTCCATAATCGAGCTTAACTGCGTTTTTAAACAGCGCATTTCGTCGTCAAATTTGAGATCAGAATACAAAAAAAAAAAAAAAAAAAAATAGAGACAGTAATGAATTACCGGAAATTTAAATTTTCTCGGGAAAGTGAAAAGGCGGAGAGATCTGATTGGTGTTCGTTAATATAATATACCGAGTTAGTTATTTTGGATCTTGATTCTAGGAAACAATTCTTTAAAAGAAGCGTTTAAGAAGGAGATATCAAAGGAGGAGTTGACCGACTGGTTCATGAATGAATATGTTAATTAATGTGTAATTTATTTTACTTATTTAAAAGACAATGAGAACGTGATAGTTGTGACTCTGAAAATGAGTTGTGTGGAAATAGCATGGGGTATCTTCATCCATTTATTTGTTGTGACTTGTGAGTTGGACAGTGGAAACTGGTATATTCATTGTGGGTGTTAAAGTTAATTATGAAGAGGAGAAAGGCTTTCCTCCATGGAATGTCAGATTCCACTTGGCAACACGCCGTGGCCCCACTCCAATATGTGGACATTGATTTCGACTTGACTGGTTTTTACAAAGCGATAAGTCACGCCGTTTGGGCCCTCAGACCATGGATCCCTTCTATTTCTAAGTTCGCCCACTCTGCTTTCAAGGGCTTATCAACAAAATACCTTCTTACGTAAGAGACTTAACTGTATGATATTGTATATAGTATAGTACTGCGTGATAGCTCAGTAGAATAGTTTTAAATTGAGGAAAGTACAGAAACTCTTGTCAGAAATTAGTGGTTGTATTTGAAAATACTTTTGGTATACGATATTCCATACTTCTACGCAAAGCAGCTTGTTCTGATGTACCTCAACTTTACCGTGTATTATAAATTTAGCAAAAGTTTTACATCGAACTCATAATTTAAAGGGGCAGTTTATGGTCCATCTATTACCTCAGTGAAGGTTCAATTCTGCCTCAGAGAAAGCTTCAACAATTGAACTAAACTAGACCATGAAAAGAAATTTAATTCTACTTCACCGTAAAAAAGTTCAAGTGTTCAATCAAGCCTTAAACCTGACTAAATAATAAAAAATGCAATGGGATGCGCATAAACATTAAAACATATCAAGGCCAAAGTCCAAACCCAGAAAGATATAATCAATCTAAAGTTTGTTGCATTATCAGTTGGAAAGTGCAGTGTTGTGCCTAAAAAATCGCACAGATGTCAGCACCAACCAAAAAGCTTTGTGCCATCCAGGAACTGTCATGTCACCCCAAGACAAAAAAGATACGGTTGTCACTAACCCAACAGATTCAAGTTTTACCTATGAGTGGACGAGGATCGTATACATATCCCAACTTTATCAAAATAATAAAAAAAAAGATAAGGAGTGGGTCTCCACGCTCATGACAACTTGCAAAGTCATTATATTGGCCTAAAAAGTGTATGAATGAGAGCTCTCTTCACAAAAAAAGGGGTTAGACATATGAGAGCTAGGCATAGATTTGAGTTTCATTATTTCTCTCTGTAAACAAAGTATTTCTTTATTTTTATATGTCTTATGGGCAATATTATATAAATAGTCAGAGAATAATAAAATAACAGTGGATGTAAGAGTTGCTTTAAGCATCCGAACCACTATAAAAACCTTTCTTGTTAGTATATTATTTATGTTTCTGCAACATATATAATCTTAGCACCATATTCAAATCTCATGGATCCATCACGTGTAATTTCTAAGACTCTCTTAACATTTTGCACGTGCGAATCGTTGGTGTCCAAAATCAAGCATCAACATATAGTATTATTGATTGTAGTAATTTCGATAAGTTGAATAAGAAAATAAAGTGCTGAAGTTATTAGCCAAAAAAAAAAAAAAAATTCTATATTTACCTGGATTGATTGAAAGCACATCCATCTTCCTGGTTTCTGCCGAGGTTTTTTCAGAGAACTACTTATCTCTGCTGAAGAAGAAATATTTCCCATGTCGAGTGCCTTGTTCTAGACAAAGGTTGTTAATTTTTGTATACCCAAACCCTTACAGAATCGCGCGTGCAATCGCTCTCATTGTATACAAGTTGGGGCAAACCTCCAGTGCCACCTATATGTAGTTTGCGTTTTGAGCTAACTCAACTGGCATAAAAGTTTTTTGGGCGTGTTTAGCCTTTAGGTCAGGTGAAGGAATAATGAATGGGAAATTTTTGCACTGTATTAATGTTAGGATCATTATTCTCACTTCCCCTGAGGTTTAGGTTTCAATCATTGACACCCTAAAAGTTTTTTTTTTTTTTTTTGAAAACAAAAAAATTATTTCCTCACCTCACATTTCAGAAAAGGTCTAAGACATCCCTTTATTCAATGTATTTGAGTTGTGATTCTGATAATATTTATATTAAATTTAACTAATTTGGACCCATTTCAGGTATTTGTTAAGATCAACAAAAATATTCAGGCTGCAAGATGTCCAATTGCGTGCAAGTTATTCAACAGTTCAGAAAAGATGATACAGATTACATGAGCTTTCATCTTGATGATTCGGAAATTTCATGCATGATTAAGGTTTCGTCCATTTTTTAAAAATAATTAATTTAAATTAAGATTAAAATCTTCAAGAATCAAGAGTGCCAGCAACATAGCAAATCCTTTTTATCCTTTAGAGCCAACTATTGACTAATAACAAACTTCGAGATGATGCCAATCTATTATTTAATAAGAAATCTGGTTAAATACAATAGCTGAAGGAAATAAACATCATTTATTTATCAAACTAATATCTTTCTTGACATCGACAGAATCCATATTTCAATGAAATTGAAATCTTATTTTACGCTATCTATCTGTTACAACTTACATCTAACAGCATCTTATTAGCAGTAAGCTGACAGTACCCTCAAACAAACATTGAAACATTAAGCAGCAAAATCTAATGGATATTGATTTTCTAAGCCCTGCACAAAAATTTCGTTGTACAAGTCCATCTTGTCTCGGCCGAGGACTAAGCCGATCTCAACACCACCTTCCTCATTTCTACATTCACTGAGAGAGAAAGACCCATAAGCGCCGATGTGAGCCAACTCACTCTTTTTTGGTCTGCCCCACCCGAAATCAGTCTCGTACACGCATAATTTTGGCGAGCCAGCTACTGTAACAAGATCTCCACTTTTCACTACTTCCCACAATTTCGACGTCCAATGCTCTGCCCCTATTAATGGCCCTTTCTCCAATCCACTAACCGTTTTTGCAATAGCTTGGGCCGCAATGGCTATCCCATTTTCCCCCGTTAGCTCACTTCGTTTAGCTGACACAAAAAAATATGCCAGGCAGTTTCCAAAATATTTTGCCGGTACCGCAAACCCATACCGCTCCCTGCAGTCGGCTACAGAAATGAAGTGGTAATGCGTGTCTTCATCGAAGTGATCGCTACCAGTTTCACCCTCTTTCAGTTTCTCTTGTATTCTCATCATATTAACCCACATGAAAGCACAAGTTACCACATATGTTGATAAGCGTATCGGCCCCAGTTCCGGGTCGTTTTTATTTCTGCTTTGATTTTTGACCCATTCTTTCAATTTCTCAATTCGGGCACGGCTTAGAACCAAAGTGATGCGAACGTTGTCTTCAGGAACAGTTTCGGTAGGGTTTGAATAATCCCAAATCAGCAAATCCTTCAAGTTAGTAGACGCAAGTTCACCTGGGTCCTTGACCACGTCCTTGTTGTGGTAAGGTAGTGAAAGGGAGGTTAAGGCTTCTCCTCCGGACCTATTAATGGACGCCCAAGATTTGATGAAATGATTGAAACTCCTCCCATCAGCAGCCACGTGGTTAAATGTTATACCGAGGGAAATACCCGAGTTTGGAAATATAGTAATCTGCAGAGCCATAATAGGCGCCACTTGTTCGGTATCCGGTAACACCCTGACCGTTGGCAATTTTGGGACAAGTGACTGAAAAGCTCTGTTATCTCGTGCATGGTTGCCTATAAGATGGTGGAAATCGGCGTCCGATTCAGCGACCGTGACCGAAACAGAGTCGCATTCAGTATAACGAATATATGGCTTGTTGGGTGGTAGAGGGCACGTCAGTGTGGCGGCCAAGGGGAAGAAATGAGGGAGAGTGAGAGAGAGAGAGTGCTTGAGATGGGGAAGGATAGTCTCTATGAAATGAAGAGTAGGGTAAGGAAATTCGTACAAGAAGATACGCTGTATGGGGCCACAAAAAAGCCATAACACATCGAAGAAAGTTAGAGGAACGGTTGTTGTGGATACGGAGCCCGGAGGCAGAGCAACATGGCTGTGTTCAAGAACATTGACTGTGTACCGTTGAGCCATCTTTGGAAACAGAGAAAGAGTTGTCTTCGGAGTCAAAAGACAAATGTTATTGTCTTATTGAAACTTGAGAGTACCTCGTTTATAGATTAAAATAAGGAACTTTAGCATCGTAGTATTCTATTAAATATGTTAAAATTAGCCGGCTAAACCTCGGGCGGTGGTGGTGGTGGGAATATGTTGTATACTCTATTTTATATTAAATTTGTTTTATTTTCCGTGATCCTTATCTAATAGTCTATAACTGCGTCTCAATTTGTTTTGCAAGAGGAACCCCATTGAAAGTTACAACTTTAAAGTAGTTACAAGAAAAAATTATTAAAAACAAGTTGTTTAAGAAAAATCGTCATCTCATAGATCCTCAAATCTTAATTCAGAAAAATTGGCAAATAAAGTAAAAGGAAATGGATCAATTAATATTTCTAATATAAAAATGAAGCATTCAAACTGCATAATTTTTTGGCAGACCAAAGGTTTCAACATCAGAAATTTGTCCTCAACATGATTTTGCTTTAGATTAGATGCCTAATTATTTTTTCAATAATGCTACGGATGCCAAAATTTTACATCAAAATTTTTTATCGAACGACGTGACATCCAATCAGACGTGAACACGTTGAATAAAAAACACATGTCCCGTGAATGGACAACCGTCTATACTTTATGAACAATTGTTCATCACGAATAAACGAGCGTCCACAAAAATATCAATTGACCACGTTCATATTATATGGATGGATATCCATTTATTATAGACGCTCGTCCAAAAAATTTTAAAAATAAAATTATTAACGCCCGTATGGACGGCCGCCCATACCGTCCATATAAAATCCTTCCCATAGAGAATCTTATATAAGTTTCGTTATTCGGAAATGGAGCACTGGGGTTAGTTACAAGTGCTTTTATCTCTGTGCAGTGCTCTTGGTGAGATCTTCAAATTACCGCTGTAGGACTTTAATTTCTTTCTTTTCTCGAATTCAAGTTCTTGTACTGACAGAACAGTTTATAAAAATGGTGAAATTCTTCAGCATCGGGCTACAATAAGTTGTTTATTAACTGTGGATCATCAAATGATTCATCAACAGCCGATGATGGCTTCACTTTATGGCACACTGATAAAGAGTTCATATAAACCGGAAAAAATGTTCTGCTCACTCCCAACAAAATCTTTGATAAGATGAATGCCCTTCGATTCTTCCCTGATGGCCGCAGAAACTGCTACAAGTTGCCATTAGTTTCCCATACTAAGTTTCTATTTCGGGCTGGTTTCTTTTATGGTGACTATGATGGCTTATCTAGGCCTCCAAGTTTCAGTTTGGAGATAGATGGCAATTTATAGGCAACAGTGACAACTTCTATGAACCAAGATCAGCCTGTTTACCATGAACTCATTTATAGGCCAAAAGAAGAAGAGTCAACCGTCATGATGTCTGCTTGCTTAGTGCGTATTAGAGAAGATGCGATTCCTTTTATTTCTTCTCTTCTAAGTAAATTCAGTTACTTTATATGGACAGTATGGACGGCTTTCCGTATTACATGGACGGGCGTCAATCATTTTGTTTTTAAAAATTTCTAGATAGGCGTCCATCTTATATGGATGTCTATCCATAGTAAATGGACACTTGTCTATATAATATGGACGGGGTCCATTGATATTTTTGTGAACTTCGTCCATTTGTGATGAACGGTCGTCCATAAAATATGGATGATCATTCGTGATTGTTAGACGGTCGTCCATAAAATATGGATGATCATTCGTGATTGTTAGACGGTCGTCCATTCACGGGAAGACATGTTTTCTATCCAACGTATCCGTGTTTGACTAAATGTCACATTGTTCGGTAAAAAAATTCGACGCAAAAATTCGGTGTCCATAGCATTACTGTTATTTCTTAAGCTGGCTAGCTCGATCCCGTCCCCTAACCAAATGATTTCATTTTTATCATAGCTAAAGCCCAAAGTTGTCTTCATATTGTCTTACACTATTGAAAATGTTCAAGTATATATATTAGGGTTACTATTAAAATTAAATCCACTTGATCCCTCAACTTTTCCTACAGTGCAAAGTTTATCTTTTTATTTAGTTTTTCAACTAATTGAAAAAGTTCTACATGAAAACTGGAAGCATTAAACTGTACTAAAAATCAGGAGATCGATATCCTTTTATTAATATTGTCTAAATTCAATAATAGATTAGTCGAGTGGTAAAGATTTGGGGCCAAGGGATTTGCTCCCTCTGTGGTCTCAAGTTCGAATCAAAAGAACGGTTGTTAATATTACTGATCACGGATCTTAGGGTTTACCTTATTTCGAAAGTCTTATTTGGGATCAAGCGATTAATCAAAGTATGTATAAATTGGCCTAAACACCTCTGGTAACAAAAACAGATCGTAGGGTTTATCTTATTTTGAAAGCTTTATTTGGGATCGAGTGATTAATCAAAGTATGTATAAATTGACCTAAACATCTCTGGTAAAAAAAAAAAAATAAAAAAAAAAAATTAAGAATGAACCAACCTAATTGATATCATGAAGAGCAGTGTGATGTGATTGAATCTTTGAAGAGAAGTGGTAAACTTTATCATCATTATGAAATTATGTAGTAGTCTTCTGATTTGGTTGAATAAAGGAATATTAAAGTATGAAGTGGACGTATTGGTACCCCACTAATAGATTAAAATAAATTTCATTGTGACAACTTTATCTCTATATTAAATTATTAAAATTAATATTATTTTCTATTTTTTACAACTACTTTTGACATTATTATCCTGTAAACCCAAATTTTTTTTTTTTATGTTATTCAAATCATTCTTAAAAAAAATAGTTTAATGATAGAAGACGATTTGCAATATAATATATCATGTTACAAAGAGGGTTCAGCCCGGACCACCAAAAGGGTGGGTTGCATGCAACCCCTGGACGGACCTGGTTGCTATATGACAACTCGACGACCCGCGGGTTGTAATTTTGTCCTTTCTAAGAAAGGACCGCCAACCCATCGGGTTGACCTGCGGGTTGCAACAGCCAACCCGTCGGGTTTGGCCCAAAAAAATTAAAAAAAAAACTAAAATTTATTTGTTTTTTTGAATTCCCTTTTTACCCTTGAAATATAGTCGTTTTATAGCAGTTGGAGAGGTTTTTTTCGTCATTTTGTTTTCCCAATTTTTTCTATAAATTGGCCCTAAACTCTCATATTTTCTCACAACTCAAATTCTCTCATTCTCTCTAATCTCTAGTCTTTATTGAAATCTCTCAATTATTCTCTTAATCTCTTTGTTATCAATTTGCTCTTATTTTAATTTTTATTAGTTTTTGCAATTTTCAATTTATATTTCCAATTTTTCATATTCCAATTCTCCTTCTTTAATTTTTTATTTCTTCTACATCAATTTTTTTTTTCAACTACAATGGATATATATTTCTCTTTTATCAATTTCAATGAGGAAGGAAACTACTATCCTAGTCCTAGTCCCGCTGAATTTACTAACATGAATACAGGAGGAGATTCAAATAGTCCCACTTTCCCGGTCTCAGAATCCGATACACCTCAAAATATGCCCCCGATTCCTCCCCACGCGCCCCACCTAAGCTCCCCCGTGGTTCTAGAAGTTGTCTGTAATCGTCGTCCTCTTCCAACTTCATCTCAAGCTGAAGCGGGTTATCAACTACTGTTGAAGACGACGACAGACACACATCAGACGTTTGGACGCATTTCGATAAGTTTTACGAGGTAGAAAATGGAGTTCAAGTGAAGAAAGCAAAATGCAAGATTGTGGAAATATATAAAGCGTTCAGGTAATGGTATAGTATTTTAAAAGGCATGCTAATAAACATATTGCTCACACGGAAATAGAGAAACCAATCAAACTTAAATAACTAATATGGGTATTACTTGGCGTTATAATTCTGATGTATATATGGAACAATTAGCTTTATATATTGCTGCAATGATCAACCTATTAATATGGCTGAAGATAAATATTTTGAAAGATTTATAAAAATTCATTTTTTCCAGGATTTAAAAGTTGTTCTAAAACTGCAACTAGAAATGATTTAATAAAATTGTTTAAGAAAATGAAATTAGAATTAAAAAATAAATACATACTTGTCAGTTAGTGGCTCTAACTACCGATATTGGAGTGGTAGAGCTAAATAAGATTATATTTGTGTGACTAGTCATTATTTTGATAACGAATGTAAATTAAATAAATCTTTATTAGAATTTAGATTAATGGATGTAGATCTAGTGGTCAACAAATTTATAATAAAATTGTTGAAGTTTTAGAAGATTATGATATTGTTACTAAAGTGATAAGTTTCATTTAGATAATGCAAGTTCTAATAGTAAAGCTATAGGTTTTTTTCAAAGTAATTATCCTTAACATAACAATTTGAAGTTTTTTCACACAAGTTGTGCATGTCATGTTATTAATTAATTGTGAAAAGTGGTATGAAAACAATTAAAGAAAAATATGATAGAATTAGAGATTGTTTAGCGGATTACTGGTAGTAATAAAAGAAATGCTGAATTTCAAGATGCTTGTATAAAATCAATATGTCTCCTATAACTTTTATATAGACATGCTTGTTAGATGGAATAATACTTATTTAATGCTTGATTCATGTTTACCTTATGCTAATTATTAGTTATTTGTAGCAAATATAGAGGTCTTCATTATTTAATAGAAAATGATTGGCAAATAGCTAAAATATTTCATTCTTTTTAAAAATTTTACCAATCCACTTTGCAATTTTCTGGTATGTATATCCTAACGTCCATTGGTAATACATACAAATATAAAAATTTCAGAGTTATTTACAAAAAACAAAAACAATGAAATTTTAAAAGAACCAATAAAGGCAATGGAAAAAAGTTTTTTAAAATATTTAAACCCATTCCTTTTCTTTATTGTTTAGGTGTCAATTGATCCTGAATTAAACAAGAAGGTTTAGAAAATGGTTTAGAGACATTAACTGAAATTTACAAAACTTAGCATTTGTCAATCAAAATGGAGAGGTAAAAAATTGTCTTGCAGAGG